AAATTTGATTTATATTTTCTTTTAATTAATTATAACAAATGCAACATAAATTATTTATCAAAGAAAGTAATTAACGTATTTCAAATTTGTATATATTTTCCATAAAAAAAGATAAGTACATTTATTCACATTTCATGAATATTGTACGTATTGTGTACTTTTTATATGTAAACATTTCAGTATCGAACGAATTATGATGCAACGATATATACCCTTCTCTACTTATGACAATATATTACTATAATGCACACGAAATAATATGACACTAATACAATATTCTTATTTGCATATATGATTAATCATACATTATTATGTTCAATCACTTACATTTATATTGGCTTGATATTTATTGTTTATTATAAAAATCAATGGTGTAAGAAGAAGGGAATGCCATACCCACACTGATAACTGTTGATACTTTCAGGGAGTTAAATGTTCATAAAAATATTAAATTTATGATATTTTGATGTTTTATTTAAATATTGAAGTGATATATTTTACACCTTTGAAAGTATATTTATATTTATATATGCTTCATGTGTTTTATTATAATTGTTTGTTTATTTCAGATAGTTTTCAGATAGTTTCCCATCGGGATGCGGTTAATGCCTGCTGTAACTTCATATACTGTTTACAATAAATTACGATAGTTGATCGCTTCGCAAAATCCATAAACTTTCAAAAATGCCACTAAAACCAACTATGTTCTATTTATACTATAATATTTTGTGTTTTTTATATACATAGATATATACATATTGTAGGATACTCATGGTTTTAATTTTAAGTAACGAGAAATGCCAGAAATTTAATATTATAATATAATGTCAACATGATGTCTACTTGTGTTCTACTTATACTATTGTATGTATTTTTGTTCCATAACGCCTGATTGTAATATAAATTGAAACTGACAGGTGAAGCAGCAGGTCAGAAACAGGAACGAGGAATCTGCAACAATATATCCATATTATGCTTCCCATTTATCATTAAAGATACTAAAAATTATCCTTACCAATGTATTGATAAGAAAAACATCTAGATACTTATTTCGATATGTCATTATTTATGTTTCACTGGCTCATTCATGAAACATTTATCTTTAGTGAATTAGGAAAACTTTATAGTATAAATGGCTGTAAAAACAGCTAAGATTCGTTTTTATTGTCTATGAATTGTTTTACCTATTATGTATGCAAGAGAATATGATACACATATGATGGTCTACGTACACGTATATGCTATTATAACAATACTAAATACAATTTTACCTTGGTTCCTTTGCTTATTCTTGTCAAATACCACTACTATTTTAGATTTTTGGAGCAGCCAATTGTAGGAATGTTTACCTGTTCTTCGATAAATTGCATCAAGGGGATCTACTGTTTTAAGTATTTCATTCAGCATTCTGTGTGTTTACATTCAAAGGAAATAGGACCTGCGAAACTGGAGAGTAATGGATGGCATATCAAATCATTGTTATATGCAATTTATATAACCATATATATTATTTACTAATTTTATCAAATGGTTATTCACACGAATGTATTAATTATAGTAGACAATTATCAATACTTTACTAGTCATATATGATACTGACTTCAATATTATCAAAATTGAAATTGAATATTGAAAATATTCAATTATGTTTTTATTAGCCAAAGTATTAGACTAAAAACAAAAATTCATAATGATATGTATCGCATATTAGAGATTTTTAAATTTATAAATTTTTTAAATCTACAATTCAAATGTTTTTCATATGTTTATATTATATTAGCCGGGAGAGGCATGTTTGCAAAAATATTTGGTGATTCTTTGTTATGTTTTTGTTATTTCCTCTGGTATAATGTTTTCCTTTTTAAACGAATCTAACTTTATGTAACTAAATTTCAAATAACTAATGTAAGTAAAAAGAAATATTATTTTTGCATGGTTACTGTTTTATTTTACTTTTTGCATCGAAATTAATTGAATGACATTTTAAGTTTAATTAAACAATGCATTGGATGTGTATTAGACAAAATTTGAAGTAAGACTTGTTAACTATATTTGAAAAAAGTATTATAATATATACTTGCAATGAAGAAAAAAGTATTATAGTTAATTTAAAAGTAATAAGATACATTATGTATTGGCATACATATGTAATAAAATTATTTTTTTTACTCACGACATTTTTGTGTGTATTTTACGAATTCATTACATTATTAAGATTATCATATTTAATTTTTTCAATT